TAATTTCATTTAGGTGTTTTAACTAAAATATGCACTTCCCATTTCCTCCCCTTTCATAACCAGAAGTTTTTATTTTATTTTATTTTATTTTATTTTTTGTTTTGTTTTGTTTTAAATGATTTCATTTTGGTGCTTTTTTATTTTATTTTATTTTATTTTGTTTTATTTAATTTAATTTCATTTAGGTGTTTTAACTAAAATATGCACTTCCCATTTCCTCCCCTTTCATAACTATTTTATTTTATTTTATTTTATTTTATTTTATTTTATTTTATTTTATTTTATTTTATTTTATTTTATTTTATTTTATTTTATTTTATTTTATTTTATTTTATTTTATTTTATTTTATTTTATTTTATTTTATTTTATTTTATTTTATTTTATTTTATTTTATTTTATTTTATTTTAGAAAATTCAGCTTTTTGCTGTTTTGCTATTTCAGCTATTTGACTGAAAATAAAACTACAACCATTAAAATCAACCAAAAAAAATCGTGTTTAAAAAACTTTAACTGAATGTTAAGCAACATTTCTCTTTTAGTTTAACTTGAAGAACTAAAAAAAAGAAAGAGAGAGAGAGAGAAATACATATAAAAATCCCTGACAAAAACACAATAAAATTACTAAATCTTTAGCTAAAATTGAAATAAAAATTGAAAATCTAAAAATAAAATAAAACTAAATTGATTTTAATCTCAATGATACTAAAATAACACTGTTCCAGACTTCTGTGCAATGTGACACGATCACAGCCAATCAGAATACATTTGATGTTTAGCGTCCAACCAATCAGATTCCACGGTGGGCGGGACTACTCAGTGCAATGCTGCAGAATTAGAAAACAGCTGAGCAGCAAATCGTCCTCACTGCATTATCACATTGCCTCTAGTTAAGACACAGTGTTACTGTATGCCAACTATTGACTCTTTTGCGTCGACTTTTGTGAGACTTTTTAGAGAAACATCTGGTACAAAGTTGAACGCTGACAACCGTACAGTACAACAGCGATCAGCCGCTTTCTGACATTCAGAGGCTATGCCAAGAATGAGGCTCTGCTCCAACAAAGTTTTTATCCCAGAGCACTCCTGCTAAAAATACCCGGCGGTGTTCAGAGAGACGGGCTCGTGGACACTTTGCTCTTGTGCCGCTGATAAGCAGGTGAAGAGGGTTGCGCTGGAGGTGTTTCGCCGGTCGACTGCGCCTCCGCTTCACCTCACACCCAGCCGCTCGATATCAGCGTAAGTGGAGCCTCGTCTGATATAAAGCTGACATACTCCGCTGACGCACTGTCTAACGCAGGCCTGGTCAAGCCTGTGGATCAACACGGATACGAGGGACCCCCATCCTAAAATATAAATGTGACCCTGGAGCACAAAACCTGTCTTGAGGGTCGGAATTTTTCAAATTTGAGATTTATGCATCATGTGAAAGCTGAATAAATAAGCTTTCCATTGATGTATGGTTTGTTAAGATAGGACAATATTTGGCCGACTATTTGAAAATCTGGAATCTGAGGGTGCAAAAAAATCTAAATATTGAGAAAATCATCTTTAAAGTTGTCCAAATGAAGTTCTTAGCAATGCATATTACTAATCAAAAATTAAGTTTTGATATATTTACGGTAGGAGATTTACAAAGTATCTTCATGGAACATGATCTTTACTTAATATCCGAATGATTTTTGGCATAAAAGAAAAATGGATAATTTTGACCCATACAATGTATTGTTGGCTATTGCTACAAATATCCCCCAGCGACTTAACACTGCTTTTGTGCTGCAGGGTCACATTTGGGGAAAAAATAAGAAAAAACCCTGTCGTGGCAGAACTACCAGGACTGTGTGTTTCCCAAAAGCACCGTAAGCCTCAGTTGATCGGAGCTCCGTTGGTTTCAGTGGGTCTATGATGTACTTTAGCTTACGATGCTTTTGGGAAACGCAGCCCGGGACATTTCCTTCAACCCTGAAACATAACACATAATTCAATGCGTAAATCAAAATATGTGGAAAACACCAGTGAAAAATCAACGTGGAAAATTAACACTATACATTGGGCCATATATTTCTAATCTATATTTAGATGTTTAGAATATAATCTATTATTAGCGTTTACATAACATCATGTTTTTTTAATACCCACTGTAGTACTGTTAGCTGTGTTATTTATTTCAATTTCAATTTATTTATTTTCATTAAAAAAATATTTAATTATAATCTAATCATTAAATATTTATTCAATTTATTATTACTATTGTTATATATTTATTTTAAATGTTTTTATTATTTAATTTAAATTTTATTAAATTTGATCTTAATCGATTTTTTATTTTTATTTGTTTATTGTAATCTATTATCTTAATTTTTTTGATTTTATTCTGATTATTATTTATTTTAAATTGCATTTACATTTTACATTTACATAAATCTAATTATTATTCTGATTCTAATTTATATTATTTATTTGTATTGCTTTTTTATTTATATTAATCTATTTATATATTTATTTACTTATTTATTCATTCATTTTAAATCAATGTTTTATTTATTTACTTTAAATAAATTTTTATTATTTATTGACTATTCTATTTTTCATTATTTATTTATTGATTTTTGTTTTTAAGTCCATTTTCATTATGTATTTATTTCTATTTTTTATTATTCATTTAATTAATATAGTTACTTAGTTAGTTTAATTGTATTTTTTATTATTATTATTATTATTATTATTTTTCTCTAAACTTTTCCGCTCTCTCGTGGCCCTCACTCAGACGCTAGCAGAAGTGTGCTAAGGGCCACCTGTGACGACTCATAAGTGTTTGTGCGATGCATTCGATCGGTTCAGGCGCCCACACAGACGGCACACATCCGAGCTAATAGCAGACTTCCCGCGAGAGTTTAATTAATATAGTTACTTAGTTAGTTTAATTGTATTTTTTATTATTATTATTATTATTATTATTTTTCTCTAAACTTTTCCGCTCTCTCGTGGCCCTCACTCAGACGCTAGCAGAAGTGTGCTAAGGGCCACCTGTGACGACTCATAAGTGTTTGTGCGATGCATTCGATCGGTTCAGGCGCCCACACAGACGGCACACATCCGAGCTAATAGCAGATTTCCCGCGAGAGCCGGAGCCAGGAAACATATTTGATTAAGCAGCGGCACAAGAGCACATTCATGCGAGAGAGAGACCGCTCAAGTGATTGAGCTCATTACTAAAATCTGAGAATCAGGCGGCGATCAAAAGCGGCCTCTCAGAGAAAGAAACAGCCATAAACATGTCCTCGGATGACACGGAGACTCCGGAGGATTTCCCCAGAGCTGCTGTTGTGTATCGCAGGCCTTTGATTGTCACGAACAGTGCGTTCGGAAGATGGAAAGTTTCCATTGACAAGAAATGTGTCTGTTCACACTGAAAGCGCCAGTCTCAGCCAATCAGAACATGTTTGATGTTGAATAAACAGCATCAGGATTTTGAACCAATGAGATTTCACTGTGGGCGGAGCTACCCAGCACAACAATGCACTGAGTGCAAATAACCAACCTTGTTGGCAAAGGTTATTTCCAATAACGCATAAATAATAAAATAGCATAATGAATAGTAATAAATAAATAAATTCAGATTAAAATCTATATAAAATAACATAGATTTAATGTAGATTAAAGTATAGAAATTATAGATTAAAAATAAAAATATTTTATTAAATTAATATACATAAAAATGATCCAGACCATAATTGCGAATTTAACTGCAACTTGTAAATGCTGGAAATAATTTCCAATAATTGTCCACTTAACTGCAAATGTCAGATGCTATTGGATATTTAGTATTCATCATAAAATTCCCAAACATATCATTCACATGTCAGATCTGGGCTATATTCTCCGGTAGCTTTTGAGATGTTCTTTTTCCCGTTCAGGACGTCTTTGTTCACCATCACGACTCGCTCTGGAAAAGGCAAAAGCAGAGGCACAAGAGAATAATACATTTATAGGACTAAAGAACGAATCTTTAACCTCTGAACCATAATTGCACTCATTACTGTCCATTTAAAAGCCATCGAGTGGAAATTGTCCACGCTCTGTCTATCAATCCGTCAGCATCAGAAATAAAAAGAGAAAGCATCCAAAGGCCGTTCACAGGTAAAAGTTCATTAAACGGCGAGATGCTGTAAAGCGCTTGATGTTTGGAGGTTGTGGGCATAATTAGTGTGAATTACATTCATACACGGACGCCTTAAAGCGCTTCTTAAAGTGTACGAAGACCAAAATAAAACATGGTAGGTGTTCTTCATTAAAGCACTGTATTTCCAGTCCCACAGAACTGTAATTTTCAGCGTCATGTGGAAGAAAAAGCGGCTGTCATTTACTGATACGAGCTTTTAGTCCTTCATTAAAAACCTGTAATCAAGCCCTGTCGTGAAGACATCCATCATCCTGATGTACAGTATGCATATGATGGAGAAAGTTTGAAATCTCTATGATCTCTTACACTTTACATGTAATGAACTGTTCATTAAATAATCACTTATAGAGTTTAACAATCACAGTCCTCTCGTATTAATGTCTTCTTTATTTCGGTTTTATTTTGAGTGTTATTTTAGCACATCAAGTTAAACTAAATGAAAACGAGAAATGTTGTAGCTGAAATAAACATAAAATAATTGTATTAAAATAAAATAAAATAATTAAAATAATTTAAAATATATATATATATTTTTAAAATTAACATTCATTTTATT